GAATCTTCACGGGAGATATAAGCCACTTCTTATCTCTATATGTTCGGTTATTTCCACTTTTTTCTTTCTAAAGGTAAGGTCGCCGTTACACACTTATTCATTCGCTTTCGTGCTTTGCATCACATTTCCTTGGTGCTCCAGCTATGAATTTAGGAAAAGTCGATAACGGAAGATTCGTTATCGGAAAATTCGGTAATTTTGACAAGGTAGAACAAATCGGTAACTATGAAATAAAAGTTGAATGAAAATTGATTTTAGGGTTGTTCTGGAACGGGGATTTGGAGACTAAACTACCCTCTCCTATATTTTTAAATAACTGAAAATCGTGGGGTCCTGATAAAACCCCACGACAACAATATCAGGGCCGTACTTTCTAAATTGGGATAGCCACTCCCCCATAGGTTTAAATAAGTATTAACTAAAAAAATCATCGGTTCCAGTTTAGATAAAAATCCACTGCAACAATACCAGAGCCGTACTTTCTGGGTGGGGGCTTAGGGGACTAAGCACCCCCTCCAATATTTTTAAATAAATATTTTTTTAAATAAGTATTTATTTAATTATTATACTCTATTGTTTTCAAGCAAGTAAAATCGATTTATCTAAGTTAAAGTCAAGTTTTGTATGTTCTTTTCAAATTATTATTTTAATAAAAAAAGCAAGAAGACAAATTTTACTAACAGCTACAAAGGACAGAAAATTGTGGAGAGCCATGATCGCCAACGTCCTGAAGAGACATGGCACATAGAAGAATAAGAAATGAAATGTGTAAATGATTGACAGAACAGGGATTAGGAGAGATAGCAAAAAGACAAATTAGATAAAGGATAGGAAATTGTGAAGAGCCATGATCGCTTCCGCCCTGAAGAGACACGGTACGAAAAAGAAGAAGAAGAAGAAGAAGAAGAAATAGCTTCTAAAAAATAACTTCTAAAATAAAATAAAACCTGATATTATTTTCTAAAATGTTTTGATCTCAGAAGCGGAAATAAACTTAAAGAAGTGTTCTTTTAAAAGATATTAATTGTATAACCTTTGACCTAAGGAAAGATGTATCCTCTTCCGGTTTTTCATTGAGATAATCTACCCATGATCTTTAAACGATGTCATTATCTTTAATTAGCCACACAGCAATTTATCTATAAGGAGAAGAATTATAACAATGTCATATGTCAGTTAAACTGTTTAAAAGTGTAAAGAGATAAATTTCCATAGAAAATAAAACTCGTGTTTAAGTTGGTATAAGCAAGGCCGGTGCAAAGACCTCTTACAACGCTCCAATCAGTGATACGCCCATTCACAATTTTCATAAGGTATCTGTCTATATTTCTGAGATGAGGTATTATGTACACTATTTATATTATTCGACTTTGTCGTCATATTTATTATTTACTAGCAGTAGAGCACGGCGTTGCCCGGGGATGTAACTAAGAGATAGATCAAGTATCGACCATCATAAAGACTGAAAAATAAAATTGACAAAGATTATTGTTTAAGGTCGACGGACACGCATGTCTTAATTAGTTTTTTTTTTTGTTGTTGTTTTTTTTTTTTTTTTTTTTTACGAATTGGTCAACCCAAACTGAAACAAAAACATTGTTTTCAATCGTTATGAGTCTACCGATTGAATAGAATTTTATTATAAACAATTGTCTTGTAAATGGAATTTTTAAAGCATTCTGAATGTAAAAATAGAGAAAAAAAACCCAATCACGTTTGTCCCCGGTCGTGGGATTTGGGTGTAGTAGGCTCATGAGTTGCTACTGAATTTCTTCTTCTCATTCAGGACGTTGATGATCATGGCTCTCCACAATTTCCTGTTCTTTGTAGCTCTTAATAAATTTTGTCTTTTCGCTATCTCACCTAATCCCTGTTCTGCCATCCATTTACACAAACTTCTTCTTCTTCCTCTTCTTCTATGGGTCATGTCTCTTCAGTGCGTGGGCGATCATGGCTCTCCACAACTTCCTGTACTTTGTAGCTCTTAATAAATTTTGTCTTTTCGCTATCTCATCTAATCCCTGTTCTGCCATCCATTTACACAAACTCATTCTTCTTCTATGTGCCATGTCTCTTCAAGGTGTGGGCGATCATGACTCTCCACGATTTCCTGTTCTTTGTAGCTTTTAATATATTCTGTCATTTCGCTATCTCGTTACGTACGTTATGCGTTGTTTCTTCCGTTCCTCTTGCCTTTGAATGTATCGAAATGTAAATTAGAGACATGTCATAATACCTGAGATTTGTTTTCTTAAAAATTTGAATAATTTTAAAACACTAGAATTTTTTTGCAACACACTATAACGCGTGTGGAAATCCTCACAGCATTTGATATTGTTCAAAATTTTTCGACATTACAATTACATTACATTAATTTTTCGAGATTTACAAACTCTAAATTTCGTTCAATTTCGTAAACCATTCGATTAAATTTAAATAAGCTGATTTGTTTGGAAAAAATACTTCAACAAAAATCTTATTTCGCGAAGGAAGGAAACTCCTATAATTACTAGAAAGAACGATAAACGTAGGTACCTCCACTTGTCGCTAAAGAACAGCATAGCATGATGAAAAAGAAGGCGCCAAACCTAATAAAAAGAAAGTTTTATCGTCAAAATGTTTATGTTATTATTAAGAGGAAAGACTAAAGTATTTTTTTATTTTATTAAATTTTTTAATCCTTTCTAGCACGTTCGAAATTTTGGCTAAAAATCTTTTTTTTTTTTTCGTCAGTGGTTGACGATTAGTGTTTTTGCGCTTTTTTTTTCAGATGAAAAAGGTTGATTTGGAAATTCTTGAAAAATCAAATAATTGTTGGATTTTAGTGACCCCCTCAGGGCTTATTCACAAATGAATGAAATTATTTTTGATTTTTTTTTTTTTTTTGCATATGTTACCTCCCATTTTACTTAATTTCATGAAAATCTTTTTTTTTTTCAAATTACTGCATATTTCCAGAAAATCAGCCACCAATCGTAAAGTAAAAATTGCAATAAAATTATGACATTATTTAATTAGAAAGTCTTTTAATTGCTTTTATAAATGAGATGTATTAAAGACTGTCATAAGAAGAACAAATTTTTCGATGAATTATGAATTTTTACAAGAATTGTTTTCATTTTTTTTGTAAATTTTAATTATAATAATTCATAATATATAAATCGTTTATTGAAGTAATGCAAAATTTTAAATTAAAATTCTGCATTACTTTAATCCAATTAGGTGATATTGTTATTAAGTGAAAACTATATTTACTAATCAAAAATTGAAAAGCTTAATACAAAATATTTTGCTTCAAGATTTTTAAAATAATTTTTAATTTTTTTATGTATACAAAATATTATGTAACGTATCCCTGTTTGAAAGTATGGTCGGCCATATACGACATAATCAGAAAATAAGAGCGATCACTAAAATTAAATTCAACATTCATGAAATTAGATTACGGAGAATATTTTCCAACATTTTTAAGATTAGTGTGTAATTAAATTACAAGGAAAGATTGGTTGGATTTGTAATAATAGAGTTTATCAGTAAACATTGAATTGATCTGGTTTTACACATGAGAGTGAGACTATAATTAAACATTAATTAGATTTACATTTGTGTCTATAGTTAAACATTGGTCGGGTTTTCAGTTGAGTCTATCAGTTGATATTGGTCAGGTTTGCTGTTGAGTCTGTCAGTAAACATTGGTCATGTTTACAGTTGAGTCTATATCTGAACATTGCTCGGGGTTTGTGCTTGTGTCTACAGAAACATTGGTCGGGTTTACATGAATCTAGATAACTAAAAACACGAATAATGTTTATAAAGCATTGACTCAATAGGCGACTCCTTTTTAGGTGAGGCCCTCAGTATTATAGAGATGCTGCAAAGACGAGGTGCAGAAAATGGCTAAAATATAGCCAGAGGCTTGACTCACTCAGCGAGGACTGAACTTATGATCAATGGTGTTTGAAATCGGTTTTCTGAACAATACCCAGAGATAAAGCAGCAAAAATGTATAGGGTGGTCCGAAAGTCTTGTCACCGACACACACACCTAATATAATTTTCTTTCATTTTAGTACCACGAGAATGGTGTTCATACAGACCTTCTCGATGTGTGACAGCGTCAGTGAAAGTGGATAAACTGAATCCAGTACACGCGCTTTGTATTACTGTATTGTTCTTCTCTTGCTCCTATTCCGTTTTGGTAGAGGGTGACAAGACTTTCGGAACACCCTGTACTTTTTAAGCTAGAGAGAGAGAGAGAGGGAGAGAGAGCGGAAGATAGAGAGAGAGATTGATTTGTTGGGGCAAATGCCAGGAAATCCTGCTGCTTTAAACAAACATTATTAACTGTTTATACCTTAAATCCCAAGTCGTATTTTGCCCTGCAAGGGCAAGGAGAGATATTTGGAATTTGTGCTGGGACGTCGCTTAAGTCAGAGTGTTAGAATCCTTAAGACAAAAAGACCCCAGCCTAGATCATCATGGGTCACACACACGTCTTCCTACCCACTATCTGATTCCCTTCCCTTCTTGAATCCCGAACGATTAATTGTTTTTGCCAGAAGGAAGAGGATGAGGCGAAATGTTGACAAGCCATTCAGGGAGGGGGGGAAGGAAGCTCACTTCAAAGACTCCAGCGGAATTAGGGTCCACATGTTACAAGTGTCACATAACTTTATAGGGTGGGAAATTGAAGTCTGATGAATACGATGGGTCGTTATGGCGAAGGAAGGAAGGAAAGAGGACTTCCTGTTTCGGTAGGACAGTAACAATTATTAATTATATACTATCCCATCACCTGCTTTGCTGTTTATCTTTTCGCTTCCCCCCTATCCTATTCTTCCGTTTTTTGTTCGCCTAGATTCTGAAATAACCTCCGACATTCTCGCACGCTCTCTTCAGAGTTCTTTTTCTTCTTTTTTTGTTTTTTTATATATTTTTCTACACTGACCTCAAATATTTTACAGTGATACATTCCTTTAAAAAATGAAATGCTAAATGAAA